TGGGAAGGGATAAATTTGGGAGTTTGAGATTTCCAAATGTTAGCCACTATCTATCTATCTATATAAACAGATTAAAAAAACAAGTTTCTTCTGTATAGCACAGGGAACTATATTCAGTATCTTGCAATAACCTTTAATGAAAAAGAATATGGAAACAAAGATATGTATGTATATGCATAACTGGGATATTGTGCTGTACACCAGAAATTGACACAGTGAACTGACTCTACTTCACTTTAAAAAAAAGGAAGAGAAAAACTAGATATCCCAAATACATTTTGTTCCTTCTAATAAACTTAAAAACAGATGCCCAAGAATACTTCCAAGACTTTGATAACTATGTAAGTTAAAAAAGCTAAAGCTCTAAACTGTTCTTAGAAACAGTGAACAACAGTACATATGTGTAAATTTTTTAAAAACTTACATTTTTATAACAAAAAAGAATACTTCCAAGAAAACAATTCTTTATAGACTTGTACCCATAGAAATTACACATTAAAATAAAAAAGCTTATCAAAATGTTTGCTGTGGTCTGCCAAGCATGTTTTCTGTAACTGAAGGTATTTTTGTGATTTTCCAAAGTCCCCAGTTCCTTCAAGCAAATATGGTTCTGAAAATCATTTTCCCAAATTATATTCTGTTATGCACAGTTAGGTGCAGGTGACAATTTCGTCTCATTAATGTGCAGTAGAGTGACTGCAGAAGTGATTTCGCAGATGACAACATTGACAAATTTTGTTTTTGCACTAAAATGTCAAATTTTAAACATCGGTTACTAAAATATTTAAGGATAAAATTACAACCTAGTTAAATTTTTTATAACTCATCATTTATTTTTGTACTCTTGAAGCTTAATCTGTGATGGTGAGATTCAGCTTCCACCTTAGCTCTGAATAAAGCTGGAATTCTCCCAGATTTGGCTGAATGTGGTTTTTAAGATTTGGCCATTTGGTGTTTGGCCATGATAGGTATTCAGTGCATTGTTCCAATGTACATAATGAATAAATATGGCTTATAAATGCATATTTACATGCATGTCGCATGATTATCTACAGTTTATTTTTCCTCAACATCTCCCAAATCAATGTGGATTGATGAGGGACATGAGTTTGGGATAAGATGAAAATATTTGTTACATATATATTAAAGAGCTATAAAAAAGGAGTTTTCTTGAATGACAGTAAATCTTATCTTACATATTTGGTCAGCAGTGGACTTGAATAGACAATAGAAGATATACAAATGGCCAATAAGCACATGAAAAGATGCTCAGTATCACTATCAAGGAAACGCAGATCAAAACCACAATGAGATACCATTTCACTGATTAAAATGGCTATTATTAAAAAAGAAAAGCAGAAAGAAAGAAAATAACAACCATTGACAAGGATGTGGAGAAACTGGAACCCTCACACATTGCTGGTGAGAATGTAAAATGGTGCAGCTGCTGTGGAAAACCATATGGTGGTTTCTAAAGAAACTGAATGCAGGATCTCCATAAAATCCAGCAATTCCACTTCTGGGTATAGACCCAAAAGAATTGAAAGCAAGGTCTCAAGCAGGTATTTGCACACCCATGTTCACAGCGGCCCTATTCACAAGAGCCAAAAGGTAGAAGCAACCCGAGTGTCCACTGACGGATGAATGGGTAAACACAATGTGGTCCATTCATACAATGGAGTATTATTCAGCCTTAAAAGGAAATTCTATCACATGCTACATCATGGATGGATCTTGAAGACATTCTACTAAGTGAAAGATGCCAGTAACACAAAAAATACTGTATGATTCCATTTATACGAGGTGCCTAGATTAGTCAAATTCCTAGAGAGTTTCAATTGAGAAAATGTGCTGATGGTTGCTCAACAGTGTGAATGAACTTAATGCCACTGAACTGTATATTAAGGATGATAAACCATGCGGGGAGGGTATAGCTCAGTGGTAGAGCATGTACTTAGCATGCACGAGGTCCTGGGTTGGATCCTTCAATACCTCCACTGTCATAAGTCACAATCCACTATCACAAATCAATTAAGTTAGAATATCCCCTCACATCTCACACACAAATAAACACAAAATGGCTTAAAGACTTAACCATAAGACAAGACACTATAAACCTCTTAGAAGAAAACATAGGTAAAATATTTTCCAACGTAAATCTTAGCAATGTTCTCCTAGGGCAGTCTACCTACGTAATAGAAATAAAAGCAAAAATAAACAAATGGGACCCAATCAAACTTAACAAGTTTTAGCACAGTAAAGGAAACCATAAGTAAAACGCAGACAATCTTGGGAATGGGAGAAAGTATTTGCAAATGATGCGACTGACAGAGGCTTAATTTCCAGAATATATAAACAGCTCATACAACTTATTCACAACAACAAAAATACAACCCAATCCAAGAATGGGCAGAAGATCTAAACAAGAAATTCTCCAATGAAGACACATAAATGGCCAATGGGCACATGAAAAATGTTCAACATCCC